ATTTTTTCGTCCAATTTTCTGTGTTTTTGTGTTTTTTTTTTCAAATTTAATTGTATGGTTCTTTACATTTGTTTATTCTAGGTTTGTTTTTCATTTTTATATTCAGACACATATGATTGACACAGCCATTAACATGTTAATGTAACGAAAAGAATTTTATCTAACTTGTTCTCTATAAACTATAAAATAATCTTACTTTATATGAAGTTATTTACTAAATTTTTACAATTAATGTAAAATTTAAATACTATTTACGTTTAGTTTGTATTTTGTTTCACGAAGTTATGTGATTGACAATTGACAATTTTTGTTTTTGTTAAATTTAACAATTCGTTTTTGTGAGTATTTAAAATTCTGTTAAAAAAAATACTCATAGACGTTTTTTCATGGCGTTGTTGATCTGTTTTTTAATTTTTTGACGAAACGATTTTTTTGCGAAAAATGACAACATTGGTTCAGAATATATATATATATATATATATATATATACGTATTCTTATTTAGGTTTTAGGTCAAATTTAATCTTTTCCAGATAAAACAAGGCATAATTATTTTAAATTGCTAGAAAACTAAGAGATAATTGAATTTATTTCAAAATAGCTCATATGTCAGTTTCACACTTACGTAAGTGATGATAAATAAAAAAAACTAACCGAAAATATTTAAATTATAAAAAAACTCGCAAATGTACATATATCTTAAAAAGTATAGTTATCTAAAAAAATTAACTATTATTAATTATCTATAAAAAATCTAGTTATTAAAATGAAAATTACTATTAATTACCTATCTAAAAGAATCTAGTCATCTAAAAAAAACTTATGTATAAGTAATATTTTTAAACTTAAAAAAATATATAAAATCAAACTAAATACAAATTCATTTTATATACGAGAAAAATGTTTAAATATTTATATAAAATATATAAAATGGATCATAATAAAAAAAAATCATATACAAGTAAATACTTTTGAACATTTTTATAAAATTTATAAAATCCAACTCAATAGAAATTTCTTCTATATATGAGTAATATTTTTACATTTTTATATAAAATTTACAAAATTAAACTCAATAAAAATTTATTTTAGATACTAGCAAAAACTCAAACATTTACAAAAAAAATAATAAAATAAAATTCTATTTGTTTTAAATACGAGTTGAATTTATATAAAATTTTGAAAATCAAACTCAATCAAATGCAGGATATCAATAATAATCATAATCTATCAAAAATTAATGACTTAGATGAGATTTTTTAAGAAGTCTTACGAGAAGTTAAATGAATAATAAAATAATATAAAAATGTAATATAATATGTTTATAAAATATTTATTTTAAGCGTGTTCAACATTGCAATTTCTGTATGTAGTTTTTTTTTTCATAAAGAAAGATCTAAAATTTAATTTATTTTTTTTAAATACGAGTTTAATTCATATAACTTTTAAAAATCAAACTCAATCAAATGCAGGATATCAATAATAATCATAATCTATAAAAAATTAATTATTTAGATGAGATTTTTGAAGAAGTCTTACGAAAAGTTAAATGAATATAAAAATATAATATGTATATAAAATATTTATTTTAAGCGTGATCAAAATTGCAATTTAATAATAATTTAATTAATAATTTCTTTCTTTCGAAATTTTTGTAACTAATAACAGTTTTGTAGAATTTTCACCGAATTTTTGAGAGAAAGATCTGATCTAAGAATGTTTTGAAAATTTGGGGAACCTTATAATGCACCGGATTCAATATAATGGATATATATATATATATATACACAATAAGATAATAAAAAGTGCATCCGCCGTTTAGTTTATCGTATCATATTTTTTATTTTAATTTTAAGTAGCCGATTATAAAACATGTGGCACCCGCATGCCACGAATATATAATTCATTTCTTTATAAATATATATATATATATATATATATATATATATATAAAGAATGATTTAATACAATGGAATGCATTTGTCGACGACTTAAACGCTTATAAAGTCAAAAGGAATTTGTAGAGATCCATCCAAGTAACCATTACCGAAGTTAATCTTCTGTTCCCTCTTAATAGGCACGAAACGACTATTATATATATATATATATATATATATATATATATATATATATATAAGGTACAAGTATTTTGAGTTTTTCAAAAAACTTAGTATGAAAATTTCCACTGCCAATGTAGTGTTCGGTAAAGATAATTTGGAATTGGTAGCAAATTTTTGTACAGATCGAGAGCGCGGCTTGATATGAATACATGTATACATATATGTATAAATGTATATATGTATTATAAATAATGAAAATCTATATTTACGACTTTGTTTTGAGATTATCGCTAATTGCAATAAACAAACAAAGACTTAACAACGCAGGCCGTTCAACTCTCATACGAACGAACGATCGTTCTCGTTTCTAAGCACTAGATAACATTTTAATTACATATATATATTACAAATCTTGATAAACCAACAAATAACTATACTTAATTAACACTGTAGTAAATACTAAATTGCTATATGAGATATAAGGAACTAAAACTCTAACAAAACGCAACTCAATAAATAAACTCTCATTTATTATTCGCACAATATACTTTTGTTCTGATATGTCTTTGACTTGCATAAAACCTGAAGATGGAACATTTCTAGTTACGTAACGTCGGTTTTGGATTTTTCCAAATCTATACTTGATTTAGTCCTTTTTCTTTTCTTCTTCAAAGATCTGGTTAGATCACAAAAAAGTTTTTCTCTAATTTTTGGTTTGTAAAATATACAAAAATCTGGTCACATCACTAAAAGTCCGGTTCTAAAATTCTACCTGATGAAGTACTAATATCTTAACAGAAATACGAAATCTTGGTTTATTCAAAATCCAAAGATCTATATACGTCACAAAAAATTCAAAGTTACTTAAAGATCTTAGATTAATTGTCAAGTTTTTTAAGAACCTAAGATCTGACAATCTTACGGTAATTTTTGAGTTAATTGAACCAAAATCTGTTTTGAGCTTAAGATCTTTAATAATCCAAAAATTGATACAAAATATCTTGCGATCTATAAAGATCTTTAGATCTTCAATAACCCAAAATCTTTAGTAATCACTAAAAGTCCAGTTCTAAATTTCTGCCTGATAAAGATCTATTATCTAAACAAAAACACGAAATATTGGTCTATTCAAAATCTAAAGATCTATATTCATCACAAAAAATTCAAAGTTACTTAAACATCACAAAAGATCTTCAATTAATTTTCAAGTTTTTGAAGAACCTAAGATCTGACCATCTTATGGTAATTTTTGAGTTAATTAAACCAAAATCTGTTTTTGAGCTTAAGATCTTTAATAATCCAAAAATTGATACAAAATATCTTGCGATCTGTAAAGATCTTTAGATCTTCAATAACTCAAGATCTGTTGATATCTATCAAGATCTTCTTGAACTAGAATTAGTGACATTTTTTAAATCTTTGTGAATTAAAATTTACAAAAAACAAATTGTTTTGATCTTTAGACAGATCCCAAGAGATCTTAGGTTATTGAGGGCATAAATATCTGGATTGATCTCGAAGTTTCTTGGGTTAAGTTTGAGATTTTAAAATTCTTAAGATCTGTACAGATCACCAAAGATCTTATTCTATTTAATTGAGGATCTTAAGATATGTTTTTATTAAAGATCTAATGATCTGAATACATACCAAGAAATCTCGGGTTATATAAGATCAAATGATCTTGTTATATTCTAAGAGATCTTGGATTCTGATCTGCACAGATCGTACGTTAATTTTTGAATTATTAAAGATTTAAGTATTTGGACAGTTTACAAGAAAGATCTAAAGATTTCTACAGATCACAATGGATTTTTCGCTAATTTTTAAATTATAAAAAATGTAAAAATCTTGTGTTCTTTTCCATGGTTAAATATCTTAACTTATTAAAGATTTAAAGGTCTCGTCAAATCACGAGATTTTTTGGTTTAAATTTAAAATTTTAAATTCTAAAGATCTGTATAGATCACTAAAGATCTTGTACTGATTTTTCAGCTTTTAACAATTTCAAAATCTAAACAGATCACAACAAAATTATTGCAGATCCTATGATCTATTAATATGAGATTTAATGGTGTTGATATATACCAAGAGATCTTGTGTTATTAAAGATCTTTACAAAAAGTTTTATGTTAATTTTTGGTTTACTAGAGATCTAAAGATCTGGTTCTAAAGATTGGAACAGATTTTGAGTAAACTTTATATTAACAAAAATTGTATAAATGTAACTAATTCTGGTTTAAAAAGATCTTGATAGATATCAAGAGATCTTGGGTTAATTAAGATCTAAAGATCTGTACAGATCACAAGATATTTTTTATTAATTTTTGGATTATTGAAGATCTAAAAGTCAAACTAGATTTTGGTGTAATTTTTACTTGAACAAAGATCCTCATAGATACCAAAATATCTTGGATTATTAAAGATTAAAAGATCTGTACAGATAACAGAGATTTTGTGTTAATTTTTGGGTTATTAAGAATCTAAAATCTGGTTCTATATATCTTAGAAAAATTTTTAATTAACAGAGATTTGGAAAAAGTAACTAATTCTAGTCAATTATAATAAAACTGGTCACTTGATCTTTTTAATCTAAACAGATCACAACTAGTATTAATCAATATTAATTGTTCTTAATAAATTAGATTTTGTTATCATGCAATATAATCATAGATCTTATCTTATTCAAATTGTATTCAAAGTTCAAAGAGATAACTAAATTTAGCAAAAAGTCAACTTTGATCAAAAAAAGATCAAAATTGACTTCTACTAGTAATTAATATATTATCCAACATTGGTATGTAAATTATTACCTTCGACCTTAAAAAATCTGTTCTATATTCTATTTTCCAACTTCTGTTTTATGTGTGTGGTAGTTGACTAATATTTGGTGCCCAAAACCTATTAAGCCCAATTTTTAATATTTATATTTTTCATCCCTTAGCACCAACATCAGTAGATTTGCCCCATTTGGAAATCAGCCCAACCCAAGATTCTCCAGTAAGACAAGGTGATAATTTGGATGTGATCTGCAGATCTAGTGATGTTGAAGATGTTGTCACCTGGACTAGACCTGATCAGGATATGCCTTATGGAGCAACGGTTAGTAAATAAAAAGATCTAAACTGATTGCTGTGCGATCAGGCGTATTTTACATATAAACAAGCAAGGAAGAATCTTGTGACTGCACCATCTAGAATTCTGTTATCATGACGCCTGATCGCAAGGCAAATAGAATAAATTGATAAATAAGGTTAGTATGTTATACCCTGATACCTACACTATGATGCCAAATACTAAAATTACAAACTTTTCTCACAAAATTTTAAGATATTTAGACAATCTCTAACCAAAGTACCAGGATAAAACAATGTTATTAGTAGGAAATTGAAATTTCAAGGAGCTCTTCAGGACTAACAGTTTGCACAAAACGTTTACAAATTGAGTATGTTGTACACTGACCTGTGCACTATGATGTGAAATACAAAAATTACAAACTTTTCTCACAAAATTTTAAGATATTTAGACAATCTTTGAACAAACTACCAGGATAAAACAATGTTGTAATCAGGAAATTAAAATTTCAAGGAGCTCTTCAGGGCCAACAGTTTACACAAAACGTGTACAAATTGAGTATGTTATACACTGACCTGTGCACTATGATGTCTAATATTAAAATTACAAACTTTTCTGACAAAATTTTAAGATATTTAGACAATCTTTGAACAAACTACCAGGATGAGACAATGTTATAATTAGGAAATGATAATTTCAAGGAGCTCTTCAGGACAAACAGTTTGCACAAAACGTGCATGATTTGAGTATGTTATACACTGACACTCATACTATGATGACAAATATCAGAATCACAAACATTTCTCACAAAATTTTAAAATATTTAGACAATCTCTAAACAAAGTATCAGGATACAACAATGTTATAAATAGGACATTAAATTTTCAAGGAGCTCTTCAGGACAAACAGTTTGCACAAAACGTGCATAATTTGAGTATGATATACACTGACACTCATACTATGATGACAAATATTAGAATCACAAACTTTTCTCACAAAATTTTAAGATATTTAGACAATCTTTGAACAAAGTACCAGGATAAAACAATATTATATTTAGGAAATTAAAATTTCAAGGAGCTCCTCAGGACCAACAGTTTGCACAAAACGTGTACAATTTGAGTATGTTGTACATTGACACGCGTCCTATGATGTCAAATACTAAAGTTACTAACTTTTTTCATAAAATTTTAAGATATTTAGACAAATTTTAAACAAAGTACCAGGGCAAAACAATGTTATAAATAGGTTATTAAATTTCAAGGAGCTCTTCAGGACAAACCACTTGCACAAAACGTGTACAATTTGAGTATGTTGTTCATTGACATATTTACTATGATGTCAAATACTAAAATTACAAAATTTTAAGATATTTAGACATTATTTGAATAAAGTACCAGGATAAAACAATGTTATAAGTAGGAAATTAAAATTTCGAGGAGCTCTTCAGGACAAACAGTTCGCACAAGACGTGTACAATTTGAGTATGCTGTACATTGACACTCATACTATTATAACAAATACTAAAATTACAAACTTTTCTTACAAAATTTTAAAATACATAGACAATCTTTAAACAAAGTATCAGGATAAAACAATGTTATAATCAGGAAAATAAAATTTCAAGGAGCTCCTCAGGACAAACAGTTTGCACAAAACGTGTACAATTTGAGTATGTTATACACTGACATTCCTACTATGATGTCAAATATTAAAATTACAAACTTTTTTCACAAAATTTTAAGAAATTTAGACAACTCTGAACAAAGTACCAGGACAAAACAATGTTATAAATAGGAAATTAAAATTTCAAGGAGCTGCTCAGGGCAAATTGCACCCTTAATATATTTCTGAATCTTCTTTCAGGTTCATGGTAATACCTTAAGGTTCATGAATGTCCAACCTGAAGATGCTGGAAGCTACTTGTGTTCTTCCACAACTGCTTATGGAGTGCCTTATAGCCAGCAATACGACTTACACGTAGAAGGTAACGAACCAAAACTTATATACCAAAATAATTGCAACTGTTATGTAATATTGTTATTTTACCAGAATACGACAGCAGATATCCAGATGCATCGAGACCACATGGTGGTTCCCAAGAACAACACGAAAGGCACCAGCCATACGATTCTAGAGAACAGGATCATGTCACATCTCGTGGTGGATTTGGTGATTCACCTGAAGGCAGATCTTCGGAAGATCACTCTGGAGTACCTTCTGATCTTCATGGAAGACCAACTTCATCTCACCATGATGCTGGACATTTTCAACCTGACCAAGGACACTACCAACCAGACCACCACGATCCCTACCATCCCGAAGAAGACTATCAACCACCAACTCATCACGAAGAGGAACACCATCACAAAAGACCTAGTCATCACCAACACAAGAGACCAGTACATGTATCATCTGCCAAAATTGGTGAAGGCATAAAGATGTCTTGTGACACTGATATGGAAGGTAACAGGCTGCAGTATGCTTGGAGCAAGAAAGGATTTGCTTTGCCAAGTGATGTCCAAACTGATGAGGTAAGATAATACTTCACATTTTTTTAACTTCCCGTTGGGTAGTTATAGTAATGCGCCAAAAATCGAAAATGAAAATTTTTGCATTTTTCGACGTTTTGAAGGTTTCTGAACATTTTTAAGGTGCATACCTCAGAAACTAAATGGATGTGTGTGTGTGTGTGTGAAAATACAAATCGAGTTTTTGAGAGAACTGAGTATCGGATTTGAATGATCTAACAAACATTCAATTTGTAATGATTGGGAGAAGAGGTGATTAGTTTTTGGCAAAGACAGGTACAGCGATTTCAAAGATACAGGGTTAAATTGGCAAAAGATGGCAGTTTTTTGTTTTTAAAGATTTATTTATTTCATTTATATTAGATTATACGTACATATTTCTATACAATTTATATAATCATGCATAACTAGATATAAATACATAAACTTATATTTAATACTAACTAATGAAAAGTAAAATTTACTTATAAATAAATTTTCAATCATGGTAAAAATAATCACTAAAAACCATATTTACAATAATAATAACAAAATAATGCATATTACTTATATGAATGGAAAATAGTCAAAAGACTAATAACATATGCTGTAGGAATAGTTTAAGAGTAATTTGATCTCTGCCATATTTTATGCTTGATTATATTATTATTGATGATGGTAGCTTGTACTTATTGTACCAATATGTATTGTCATTCGTTCCAATATTACATATATTAGGATTTAAGTTAAATAAACAATTAGTATAAAATCTTTCAGAGATAATTGTTATAAAATCTCTCACAATGGTATACGTATATCATTGCGGATCTAATTATTGCCATATATTTTTTTTATTTTCAATATTAATAGAGCTGTTATAATTTAGCAATGGGTATAATATGTATATTAAATTTTTTTAATTCAATTATTTTATTACTAATGTGTTGAATTGAAATTCAGTTTCCTGTCTAAGGTGATACCCAAATATTTAACAGAACCACTCCATGGTATGATATTATTAAGATGCAAGGATGTATTGGGTATTGGGTGAGAATATGGATTCTTTTTTGTCAATATTTATTTTTATTTTCTATTTATTTGTGTATCTTATAATTTGGTTCAAATGACTTTGTAATCTCTCAATGATTGCTTTATCTGATTTCCAGAAGTGAAAATTACAGTATCATCCGCATACCTACATTAATAATTGCGTGTTGATTACAAAAAATGACAGTTTTAGACTGAACTAAGCGTACGGTTTGAATGATCTAAAAAACTTTATGCTTGTATTGACAAAACAATTGCTTTTGAGGATAAAAAGTTATTACATCTTTTTTTATTTTCCATAAAATATTTTTGTAATTTTTTAGATTAAAAATTCAAAAAATTACCCAGGCTAAGCACAGTCTAAGCGCCACTCTAGTACAAATGTTTACTCAAGTGCGTTTAGACTGTTTATGTACTGGAGCACTTTTCCAATTTTGTGAGAAAACTATTGAAAAATGTGAAAATGTGAAAATGCCGCCAATCTGAGCACAGTATAAGTGAAAATGTCGCACAGAATTATTAGCAAATGCGTTTAGACCGTGACTATGCGGGAGCACTTTTTCAATTTTGTGTAAATTAGCAACTATTTTTTTTTTAAATTGAATTCAAAATGAAATGACGATTGTTAATGTTCTGGAGATAAATTGATTTATGGTTTACATTTGATTTACATTTGATTTGCTCAGATATAACAAACAAGAAAGCAAAAATAATGAAAGTTACAGTATTTGTAATGATATATTTGAAAACGTTTAAAATTTCTCGAATATTTTATTACGATGCCATACACCACTAGTTGTATATTTTATTTATTTTATATATTTTATTTTATTCAATTTTTTTCTTATAAAACAAGTGTTTTATAAGTAATTTTGTGTGTACTTGATTTGAACATATCAACTTGATTAAAACGTTCGATGATTTGTTTTTTGGTTTATGTTAAATATTTTTCCTAAGATTTCCTAAATTTTGTCTTCTGCAAAAAAAAATCTACATGAAATTCTACACAAAACTTGGTAACCGAAATTTTTACTGTAATTTCAATAATCGTCTACAGACGCCCAAATATAATAAAGTCAAATCCGACTTGTTTTTTTATAAATCTTTGACGCTCTTTTTTTGGTTTTATTAAAATATTCTCCACTAGTTAAATATACCTAAGTTTTATCTTATGCATATATAATCTTCATAAAATTCTGCACAAAACACAATAAACCAAATTTTTATTGCTTTTTTAAAAAAAAACGTCCACAGACCACCAAATATAACAAATTAAAATCCAACTTGTATTTTTTTTTATTTTTTCAAAACCTGTTTTCGGTTTTATTAAAATATTTTTCCACTAGTTAAATATACCTAAGTTTTATCTTCTGCATATATAATATTTATAAAATTCTGCACAAAACCTAAAAAAAATAAAAACCAAATTTTTATTGCTAATTACAAAAAACCTGATTTTTGACCGTCTAAGCGCCACTCTGGTACGAATGTTTACTCAAGTGCGTTTAGACTGGAGCACTTTTTTAATTTTGTGCAAAAACTATTGAAAAATGTGAAAATGCCGCCAAGCTAAGCACAGTATAAATGAAAATGTCGCACAGAATTATTTGCAAATGCGTTTAGACTGTGACTATACGGGAGTACTTTTTCAATTTTGTGTAAATTAGGCAACTATTTTTTTTTAATTAAATTCGATATGATATGACGATTGTTAATGTTCTGGAGATAAATTGATTGATTTATGATTTACATTTGATTTGCTCAGATATAACAAGATAGCAAAAATAATGAAAGGAACGCTAAAATTTAAAATCCGGTTCAAAAAATTTGATATATTTCGATAAGACCTCACAAATGTAATATATTGACTTATTATATAATTAACTCTATTATATACAGCTAGTCTATACATTAAATTGTACAAGTATGAGGGAATCATTGAGTACATAATTTATATTCTTCAATGACATTAATTATATTTATTCTGGTATTATTTGTATTCATTAGTACCTACATGTATTTATTATGATATAAACGTACTCAAGATTAATTACAATACTTTATAAGAGTTAACCTAATAATATGATAACCTATTACCTATCATACTAAATTATATTATTGTATATCATAGATTGATATCTATTATCTATCATACGGTGAGATACCTATACCGTCATTAACTTATTATATACCTAGATACCTTTTACTTCTTATAAATACTACTGCCTAATTTATATATTCACCTATATTATATAGGTTTACCTTACGCCCTATGTATTATCTCTACCTATCTATTGCCTATACCCGGATTCGAACCCGGGACCTCCGCGTGGAAGTCGCGCACCTTAACCACTACCCTACCGGATACCCCCACTAATAATATAATATGGGACGCACTGTTGTTTCCGCGGGTCATTTTCTAATTAATTAGATAATTATTACTGAGGTGCGCGCGAAGACACGCGAAAAAAGACGGTTGATTGTAGCGTTACGGTGGTGTAGTGGCTAAGGTCGTAGCATTCCACGCGGCGGACCCGGGTTCGATTCTCGGTAGGGTTAATGTAGCGTGTAAAAAAAATATACGTAATAGGATATATAGTAGATATAGGTTAGGTGTATTCGGTATACAATGTAGGGATTTGAGAGTATGTGATGAAATATAGCGCATGGTGTAGATGTAAGGCATGTAGTATAGAATGCAACGTATAGGCATACGTAAGGCTATAGAAATACACGAATAGGAACCTACGATGTAGGTGTTAGCGTATAAGAAATGCGAATTTATACAAGAATTATAAGATAAGATATAAGATTTAATTTATAAATATTATTTTTTCTATAAGAAATTTTATCTCGGTATTAAATATCTAAAATATCCGTTAAGGCGTCGATTACACCTTACTGCTGCCTTTGCCGTTATCACTTCATAAAAAATTAATTACTGCACTTTTAAACGAATGTGTGCACTATGCGACAATAGACATAGAACTATAAATTTTATTAAATGTTTGAGTAACTTGTGCGAGCTGAATTTCTTAAGGGGGTATTCTACTGTAGAATTTTGAAAAAATCGAAAAATTTTTTTTTTCATATTTTCAAAGTTTAGTTATTCAGAAATATGTCATTAAAAGGATTTTTCAAAATCACTATTATTTCCTGAGTTATGTCCGTTTAAGTGACGTGGCCTCGGTTTGGGTCCGACCGAGTCTCAAAACTTTGAACGCGTTTTTCTCGGAACTACTTTTTTCGAGCTGGCGGTAAGGATATCTCGAGTTCTAATGAACCGATTTACTTCAAATTTGGAGAGGATCTTCTCCATACATCGCTTTATCGCATGGACCTTTCCCAAAAATATAACTTTTCATTTAGTATTTTTAAAAAATTCGGAATTGTTAAAAAAAACATGAAAAAAAAATTTTTTTTCAAACTGTCGCCATTCAAACAAAAAATTTTTTTTAACTTATCCAAGATTCATACGATAGCGGCATCTATAATAATTAAGAATACATTTATTTTTTATGTTTCGGATCACCAGGAGGGTTGGAACCATGCACCCCAGGACGCCCTCTTTTTTTTTGAGCCCCCACTTTGACTGCTCATAACTTTGTGAATTCTATTTTTTTTTTAATTATTTTTTTATGTAATAATAAAATATCAATAAACAAATCATAAAAAATCGATAGTAAAAATATAATTTGTTTCCTTTATACAGCGCTTCAAAAACCGGCCAAAATTCATGCTTCTACAGTAGAACACCCCCTTAAAGTGTTCTTAGTCTCGCAACTTACTGAATTCTAAAAATTCTAAATTTAAAAATATAATATAAAAATTATTATACCGCTGTTTGGGAGGTATGGCACTTTATAAATATACAGACTAATATATACAGAATTTGGAATTTTTCTATAATCCGTAATATTGAGAAAGTTTGCATTAGACCTAAAAAGGGATCCGTATTTACCTAAGCTATGGAAATATATATGGAAAAATTATATGATTTGCACATGCATCCTGTGCTTACTTAGACTAAACAATGATCATAATATGTTTAACAATTTTTTAACAGTATTTACAAATTATATTCAAATCACCCAAAGCAAGTGGGTTGAAGTCGTGTAATTTTTTAATTTGCCTCCCCCCTCTGAATTTAAAAATGGATTTTTCTGTAGAGCGAGCGCCCCACGTTGGGAATTACTAGTCTAGGAGTACAATTTTTTAATCTACTACCAGGTTAAAATAATCGAGTGATCATCAATTCCACAGAACCTTCATCAGATTTTCAAAAGATCAAAGTTTCTATGAATTGAGACCATAAGTCTATCAGGGTAACTCTTTTGCTATAAATTGTCAACTAATTTACCACTAAATAAATGTCAATAAAACAATGATTAAAAAAATTACCAATAGATCTTGGATTGTAAAAATTTACAAGCGATCGAACGGCTTATATTTTTGCCTTAGATGGCAAAAAATTCATCGAATTATTAAAATATTATTTTTTTTTAATTTAATTAAAAGCAAAAGAGTTCTTATGCTTATGTATTTATAGAATTGCTTTTTTCGCTACAATCAATTTCCATTATATGAATGCCTTAAATTTTTTATTTTATTCGACAAACGCCCGCTATGCCCGAAACAAGTCCAACTTATATCCGAAATATTAGAGCATCAGACACTTTTCGGTCTTAAAGTAACATATGTGAAATTTGAAATACACTACTGTATTGTAATTGATATTTCAGTTCATACACCTCAATTTGTTACTAAATTAAAAACGACTTTGATAAAACCAGTGGTGTTGTGCTAATATTTTTTGTCGGAACGCTAAAATTTAAAAACCGGTTCTAAAACCAGTTTTCATGTTTTTTCCGGTTCCGTTCGAAAAGGAAAGAAACAAAAATTATTACAAAACCCATTTTGCGCACATGTATGTATGTTTATTACAATAATAACATTTAATAAAAATTAGTTAAATAATAACTTATAAAATTTACTTATTAAATCATTTTCTGTATGTAGCGATTTTTTTATATTTTTTCTTGCCGGAACGCGTTCCGCCCCAAAAATGATTTGCCGGAACGACGTTCCGGCGCGTTCCGGCTCGACAACACCATTGGGTGAGTTATTGTAATGGGCCGAAAATCGGAATTGAAAATTTTTACATTTCTCGACGTTTTGAAGGTTTCTGAACATTTTGGCACACCTCAGGAAAAGTGGATGTGTGTGTGTGTGTGTATGTATGTATGGATACAAATTGCCAGTCACGTTTCCGGGCGAACGGATCAACCGATTTGAATGGTTTAAAAAGCATTCGATTTCTATCGATAGGGAAAAGAGCTGATTAGTTTTTGGCAAAGGCAGGTCCAGCCGTTTCGAGGATACGGAGCAAAGAGTGCAGAAAATAGAAATCGATTTTTTGAGAGAACGGAGTATCCGATTTGAATGATCTAAAAAACATTCAATTAGTAATGATTGGGAGAAATTTTTATTAGTTTTTGGCAAAGGCAGGCCCAGCCATTTCGAAGATACGGAGCTAAATATGTAAAAAATGGCAGTTTTTGAGAGAACTAAGCGTCCGATTTGAATGATTCAAAGAACTTTCTGCTTGTCTTAACAAAATAATTGATCTTGGATTTTTTTTTTTTTTTTTTTTAAGTTTTTTGTATATCGAAAATATTTCAGATTTTATTTTTAATTCTGACTATAGTTCTAATATACTTTACAAATAATTTCAACTTTGCAATTCAGTTTATATAATTCTCATAAATATTAGACAATGTTACAATATTTATAATAATCTATTTGAAAACATTCAGTATTCCTCGAACATTTCGTTACGGTACGGGAAGTTCCAGCAATTTGTCTTAAGGCACGATGCCATAATTGCCTCAAAACAGAATTCCACTTACAGCTAGTTTTTTTTTAATTTTTTGAAAATCGAAAATAATTCAGATTTTATTTTTAATTTTGACTATAGTTCTAATATACTTTAAACAAATAATTTCAACTTTCAATATTAGACAATGTTACAATATTAATAATAATCTATTTGAAAACATTCAGCATTCCTCGAACATTTCGTTACGGTACGGGAAGTTTCAGCAATTTGCTTTAAGGCACGATGCCACCCACCCCACTAGTTATGGTATATTTGAAAACGTTTCAAATTTCTCGAATATATCATTACGGTACGGGACGTTCGAGCAATTTGCCTTAAGGCACGATGCCATACATCACTAGTTAGATTTGTTTTTTGACAGAGTGGTAATTTTTGCAGGAGTTCTTGCAATTGACCAATGTCAAGGAAAGTGATGCTGGTTTATATGTTTGTACTGTGAAGAATGGAACTGATACGTTTGAAATTCCAAGTATGCTCTTGGTCACAGGAACCATACCCAGGTAACTAGAAATATAATCATAATTGGATCAACTTTTACCTTGGACTATTTATTGATGTACCAATTGTTTTACAGATTTACAAGATCCACGGACAGCTATCTAGAATATCCAACTTTGCAAGATGCCTACACCAAATTCGACTTTGCTCTGACGTTCAAACCAGAAGAACAAAATGGTAATGAATAAAATTTTAATTAATTTGAAAATTTGCTTTATTTGACTTAAAAACATATATTGATTTTTACATAAAGATACAAATTGTATACACCTATTCTGGGAATATCAGTATACTATCATAATATAATATTGTTTGCATGTATATATATATATTTATACTAGCTAACCCGGCAAACGTTGTTTTGCCATAAAATATTGCTAAATTGATAAAAAATTAATAAAAGTGCCAAAAATCAAATATTTAATAGATTTGGACTCTGATTCTTTGACAAATAGTTAAAAACTTGTTATAATTTTCAAAATTATTTGACATTTCATACTTCAAAAATTAATTCACTCGCATCATAGTTTTTTGTTTATTATTCTTTTGTCATGTCATATATGTCAATAAAATTTCCTTTCAAATATTATTTATTTGTTAATAACTTAATAATTATTTTAAGTCATCAATTAATAATTATATAATTGTTAAATTCATAAGTTTGGCTAAATCAACACAGGAATATTGTGGAAATAAATATTTTTTTAGATAAAGATCTGATTTTTGACATTTGCATTTTATTTCAAATTAATTATAACTGTCAAAATAATTTTTTTTAGGTCAAAATTTAATATAATATGATATAATATTTAGTTTGTCTAGTTTGTTTTTGTCAGATACTAATGATACCTTCAGATTGTACTATTCCATTTAAGAGGTTACAATTTCCTGTAAGATTAGCATTTGCGATGACAATCAAAATATATCTCAACTGATATATTATTAATAATATTATATTTTAATTACACAAATTTTTTTACACTCCGATAAATAATTCGAACGCATCATAGTGTTTTGTTTATTTTAATTTTATTTATGTCATTTTTGTTTTAATTAAAAAATAAATTAAATTTTAGTCTAAATCAACGCAGTATCTTTATCTAAATATACAATTTTCTATATGAATATTTGATTTTTTACATTTGCATTTAATTGCAAAATAGTGAATGTCAATTTTATATATCCAATATGCACTAAATTTATAAATGTCAAAATATTTATTTCTTGGTCCAAAATTAATATAATATGATAATATTTATTTTACAATAATGTTTTGTATCTATAATTTGCTTGGCAATATTGCCTATAACATAACTTAGAATAATTAATTTATTTGCTTCTTATTGAAGTAAGTCGTTAAACATTTTTTTGTGAACTGTAAAAATTTTGTTTATGATTAATTTTAAATTCAATATGCCGCTTTTTTATTGTGATCTTTGATCTATGATGTTTTGATGAAGTTTTGGTTTCCGAAATAATTTGGTAAGCTAATCAATTAAATCTAAATCGTAAATCTATTTATATAATTATTTTCATAAATACTGACAAATGACATTTAATTTTTTTACATGTCAACATTTATTCAAATTTTTAAGCATTGATTTTTAATTAGATTTGAAACTATAAACAGTGATTTTGAATATAGCATTTCATCAAATTTGGATTTAAATGTTGGATATTTCTATATATGTACATGCTTTTGAATTTTATTTTTTGAAATGTCAAATTTTTTTTTCAAAAATTTTCCTTGAATTTTGACATTTGTCATTTTAGTGTTTTGTTTTTTTTGTCATTTTATGTCAAAGTTTTTAGAAATTTATAAAAATTATATATTTATATTTCAAATTTACTTTTCAAAATTTCCTATAACCTAAGTTGGACATATATGCACACGATGAGTCAATAAAATTTAAAATCGGTTCAATAGTTTGGGCGTCCATCGCGAACCAACATCGTGACACGAGATTTATATATATATATATATATATATATATATAGATAGATAGATAGATATAGATATATTTGTTTCAATTAACTTATATAAGTATGAAAAGAGCTATTAAAACCATACTGCCAAATAAATAATTCCAATAACAACTAGACAATTGTCTAAAAATTTTGGTTTCTAGGTCTTCTACTTTTCAATGGGCAATTTTCACCACCATCCAACGGTGATTTCGTGTCCCTGGCTTTGGTGAATGGAGTTCCTGAATTCAAATACAATTTAGGAGCTGGTGTGACTACTTTAAAAGCACCTGAAGATATAGTATTGGCACCAGGAGAATGGCACCATATTTCCGTGAGCAGAAGTCGCAAAGAAGCAATGATGTACGTCGACGGACAAGGGCCATTCAAAGTAGTAGCTCGTGGTAAACATATTGGATTAGACTTAAAACAACCTATGTATGTTGGAGGTGTTCCTGATTCTGAAACTTTGCCTGAAGGTGTTGACAAAGAAGGATTTGTAGGTAAGACTAAAGACTTAAATCTGTTGTGAGGTTTTTATTGTACTAAGTACCTATTAGAGATTTGACTCCGCTTCAGAGAGGAGTAATATCCACTTAACAACTCCACAACTCCGACAACTTTCAAACATAATATAATGTTGTCAAATATCTCCCTTCCGCCTTTTTGTATTATAAACCAAGAGCAAAAAAGCGGAAGGGAGATATTTGACAACCTAATACTTGACACAAATGTGTTTTCTAGTGTGTTTTTTACAAAATAATTACATTTTTAACTAATGCTAAAAAACAACCAACGGAAGAAAATACTTTTACTATGGATTTTCAAAGATTACTGTTTATCTACCGATAGCAAACCTGCATAAATTGGACCTTCATAAATTACTTTTTATTTTTCGATAAACTCTAGGAAAATATAACTGGGGTATAAATTTAGGTTTTGAATTTAAAGAACATTAATAAAAAAATAATACAATCTAGAAAATGTTTTATAGATATCAATGAGTATATAATTATACAAATAAGATTTTTTAGAGCACAGTGTTTGAGAAAAATATGCCAAAAAGTTCATTTTCATATTAACATTTCTTAAAAAAATTAACATTTTTACTACTTGCGGCCCGTTTAATAAAGTTTTGGTGTATAAATATAACTACGAACAAATCTACTTACTACAATTTAATCATAATTAAATAATATTCACGCAAAAATTTCTATTAAAAGTCCATTGCTTTATTGAAAATACGCTTCTACAAAAATTTTCAAATTAAAAATGTAACGTTTCTACGCGATTTTGAAATAATATCTCACCTTTCCGACAACCTATTGATTAGTTTTCGAGTTTTACCGAATCATTTGATCGAGAGCTCCATTTTTATGTATAAGATAATGCAGTGAGCCTTATATATGAAATAAGAACAAATCTTTGTGACAATTATTATTTTTCACAAAATAATAATACCTCACATTTTTTTATTATTTCCCTTTCGAGAATTAATTATACATCAGGTAGTTTGATTAGCATACTGTTACTTTTACACAATTATAAAATCATAATTGTATAAAAGTTATAATATAATACTAAATATTTTTAGCTGGTTGTATACCATTGAAAGAGCTCATTTACGGATAAACATTATTGTATACAGAATATAGAATACAAAATAGCATTATTTTGAGACATTATATACCTGGAAAGTCCTAAAACTGGTTGTGAGACGAGAAAAAAGACACTTATTTTTACCCAAATATATGTATTATTATTATTAGTATTATTATATATTAGTAAAAAATCTCAAGCAAATATCTGCATTCTGCACATGATAACAGATTTAGTACCAGTTTAGGAAAGTCGGATATGACAAATCCTGTGAAACGATTCCTATTAACAATTAGCTGGTAATTTTTTGCTATAAAAAGTCCACTAGGCATCTAATATATAAATATCAATAAAATAATTTTTCTAAAAAATTGACAAATAAATGACGGATTATAAAATTTTTCGATCGACCAGATGATCGACTCAATGACTCGTAATTTTAGCAGTGTTGACCAAAGTAAAAACGCAAAACTTGAGAATCAAAATCAATTTAATTATTTCCTTTTGATGAGAAAATTGATTTTTTGGATAAATTTCATATAAAAAAGATGTAGTAAACTTTGTAATAAAAGCAAAACATAATACTTCTGCTTTCTAAATTTTTCTCTACTGTTTCCATTCGAGAATTAATATTATATCTATATATTATAACTATAGTTCGATTAGCATATTATTACTTTTCAACAATTATATAATTGTATAAAAGTAATAATATAATACTAAATATTTTTGCTGCTTAAATACTATTGATATCACTGATAAATTTTGCACTCTAAAGTGTTGTTATATCAGGCTATGGAAAAACCAGATTAAATGTATATATTTCGTTTCGTATATTTTTCGTATACGTATATATTGTCATTCAGCGCCAAAGATTGTAGTTAGAAATATGATTCCTTACTATTCAATAAATTATACATTTGAGCTATTCACACTTCAACACAATTTCATTGTTCTATATCTTTGAAGTAACATTTTTGTATTTTCTGGAAAATACACAATGGTATTTATTTTGACTTTTATACCTGAAAAAGGTCATAAAACTGCCTGCGAGACAAGAAAGTGACCGCTTTCTTCCCAAAGCAAAAACGACAAAAACACTAAATGCTTGTACGAGTTAACATATCTAATACCAGTTTAGTGAAGTCGGATATGACAAATCCTGTGAAACAACTCCACTCGGATTCACTCCGAGGGAGGAGTTGTATCAAAGTGATAACTCCGGAGTGAGTTACCCATTTCTAGTAACTAAAGATATTTTTCTATCCTAGGTTGTATTTCTGGTTTGACTCTAAACAAACGCGATGCCTCACTTTTGGGTGATGCCCTGGTTCAAGGGGATGGAGTTGCTGATTGTGAAACTTGTTCGCCTTATGGAGGTGCTGCAAATGCTTGTCATAATGGTGGTAAATGCCAGGAATCTAAAGAAGCTCCTGGATGGAGGTGTTTGTGTCCTGAAGGATTCTCCGGAAGCGATTGTTCTAGAAGTGGCGACGTGTGCTACCCAGGTAGGAAAAATTTTGTGTAAATTAGTGTAGAGTATTCTATATGTCTATTATTATAGGTGCTTGTGGAGCTGGTAGATGTTCAGATGCACCCTCAGGTGGATTTGT